TGCTTGGGCTCTCTCTTGTGCCTCATATTGTAAACGGGCCAAGCGGATTTTCAGTCGCGCGCCCTCTCTAGAGTCAGTGGAACTTGTGGAACAGTTTACCCACGCTTGCTACACAAATTAATCTGCTCTAATGACGGACTAGTAATAAAATTCTGCAAGTTAAACACAACCAGCAGATGAGCGCTACTTTACGAATCCGCATAAGGACGTCGCCGCGATACACCAACAAGGGTATGGTCAGTTGCCACCAACATACACAGAAAACCCTCACAATTATAAAACTATTTGGAGCTGATCCCGGACGAGCCCCCATTAAATGTTACGACTTCATAATTCTTGGACTTCATAATTCTAGGTTGGAAGTAGTAACATTAAGATTGTGATGAGTTTTGCAGTCATGCAGGTGGCAAAAGACAAAACACCAGTCCAGGTCTGCCAAAAGAAAGTGATTTATTTACAGAAGTTAAGGAGAGTGTGAAATAACTTTATTAATGCCAATAATAATAATAATAATAATAAAAGGGAAAAGCACATACAATATGAAAAAAAAGCCCACAGGAGAAAAGGGACACAAGTGGCGCTAAAGAAAAGAAAAGAACAAAACCAACCTAACTCAGTTTCAAGCTCTAACCTAACTAAAGAAAAGAAAAACAATGAAAGCAAATCTTCGGCGTTTACACACCCTAACTTATCTATACTGAACTTAACCAAACAAAAGATACAAAACAGCGCTCACTTCTAAACTGATGTATCTAATACAATAAAAAGTCACTAGGTGTTGGAGCGTGTATGTCACATGACATTCTACCTGTCCCAAAGCTCCTGGGGCAAAGTGAAGATTATCATCAGCAAACCACAATAAACCATAAAAGAAATCAAAAGAATAAACGAGATGACAATTTAAACTATAACCAGGAAGGATGTCACAAAGCACAAAAGGGCAGATTAACAAAGAACACAAAAGAGCAGGAGAGCACAAGTTGCCTCCTCGGTGTTCCTCTCTGCGTCTTTTTACACGCTGGCGATAGACCGGATTGGCAACAAGAACGATGACGTCATTCAGGTTAATGATGACTGACAGCCTCTTGAACCAATAGCGGTCCAGAGGAGTTGAGCCTAAGAAAATGACAGGGAACGAGAGAAAGAGAGAGAGAGAGAAAGAGAGAGAAAGACAGAGAGAGAGAGAGACAAAGGAAAACTAATGGGACATAACAGACCCGATGCCACATTTGAGTCTCGCATGGCCAGCGCAGATCTCAAGATCACAAACTCGCCAGTCTGATTTTAGTCAGAGGATGTACGTTAACTAATACCTTTAAATCTGCTGCCTACTGCTTGCTTTTGATAAAATGTATTGTTTACTTAGTCACTTCCCTTACAACTTGCTAAATCAGTGATAGACAGAAATCAAAAGATCACCGATGAAGTGCCTACTGCTCCATTCATCCAGGCGCCTTCAGTGTGATCTATCCTGCCCATAAATTTGAGGTAACATCAGCCTCATCAAACATCAGATTAGATTTTGTTGCATGGCATCTGTTTTGTGAGCGCTCCTGAGGTTTGGTTTTATGGGGAGATCATTTCGGGTCTTACAAGAAGAAGAGAAGTGTCCAGTTTCAAAGCTACATGAAAATATATCTTGTATTTGCATGGAAGAGTAGAAGTGGAAGAGAAACTAGATGTTCTGATGAAAAACAATGAAGAATGAGTTAATAATTAATATCAGATTCATGTCTCTCTTAAATGTGTTATGGCCTCTTCTTCGGCTCTCCTTAAAAGGTTTTTTTCCAGTGTGATTTTTTTCTGCTGCTTTTCAGTTCATCATCTGTAGTAAAAGACTTCCTCTGCACTTAAACACACACCGCCGTATCTTTTCTGCTGTAATATTAAGAATGAATTTCTAAAATCCTGTATGGTAAGGGTTACGCGTTATTGATCTCGTTCCCTTTCTCTGAGTTGGTTAGACCCCGGTCTGGGTTCGGCTGCGCATCTGATCTGGCAGCAACCTTCATTGCCTCCAGATCAAGCTGTCGAAGCTTCACCTGCTTGTCAGTCTCAATTTCGAGCCTGCATACTTCCAGATGCAGATTAATCTCAGCCTGACGTGCTTGGGCTCTCTCTTGTGCCTCATATTGTAAACGGGCCAAGCGGATTTTCAGTCGCGCGCCCTCTCTAGAGTCAGTGGAACTTGTGGAACAGTTTACCCACAACAATCTGGTAGTAATCAGCTATAAAAAAAAATCGTGTTTTTGCTTGCTACTCAAATTAATCTGCTCTAATGACGGACTAGTAATAAAATTCTGCAAGTTAAACACAACCAGCAGATGAGCGCTACTTTACGAATCCGCATAAGGACGTCGCCGCGATACACCAACAAGGGTATGGTCAGTTGCCACCAACATACACAGAAAACCCTCACAATTATAAAACTATTTGGAGCTGATCCCGGACGAGCCCCCATTAAATGTTACGACTTCATAATTCTTGGACTTCATAATTCTAGGTTGGAAGTAGTAACATTAAGATTGTGATGAGTTTTGCAGTCATGCAGGTGGCAAAAGACAAAACACCAGTCCAGGTCTGCCAAAAGAAAGTGATTTATTTACAGAAGTTAAGGAGAGTGTGAAATAACTTTATTAATGCCAATAATAATAATAATAATAATAAAAGGGAAAAGCACATACAATATGAAAAAAAAGCCCACAGGAGAAAAGGGACACAAGTGGCGCTAAAGAAAAGAAAAGAACAAAACCAACCTAACTCAGTTTCAAGCTCTAACCTAACTAAAGAAAAGAAAAACAATGAAAGCAAATCTTCGGCGTTTACACACCCTAACTTATCTATACTGAACTTAACCAAACAAAAGATACAAAACAGCGCTCACTTCTAAACTGATGTATCTAATACAATAAAAAGTCACTAGGTGTTGGAGCGTGTATGTCACATGACATTCTACCTGTCCCAAAGCTCCTGGGGCAAAGTGAAGATTATCATCAGCAAACCACAATAAACCATAAAAGAAAATTATCAAAAGAATAAACGAGATGACAATTTAAACTATAACCAGGAAGGATGTCACAAAGCACAAAAGGGCAGATTAACAAAGAACACAAAAGAGCAGGAGAGCACAAGTTGCCTCCTCGGTGTTCCTCTCTGCGTCTTTTTACACGCTGGCGATAGACCGGATTGGCAACAAGAACGATGACGTCATTCAGGTTAATGATGACTGACAGCCTCTTGAACCAATAGCGGTCCAGAGGAGTTGAGCCTAAGAAAATGACAGGGAACGAGAGAAAGAGAGAGAGAGAGAAAGAGAGAGAAAGACAGAGAGAGAGAGAGACAAAGGAAAACTAATGGGACATAACAGACCCGATGCCACATTTGAGTCTCGCATGGCCAGCGCAGATCTCAAGATCACAAACTCGCCAGTCTGATTTTAGTCAGAGGATGTAGGTTAACTAATACCTTTAAATCTGCTGCCTACTGCTTGCTTTTGATAAAATGTATTGTTTACTTAGTCACTTCCCTTACAACTTGCTAAATCAGTGATAGACAGAAATCAAAAGATCACCGATGAAGTGCCTACTGCTCCATTCATCCAGGCGCCTTCAGTGTGATCTATCCTGCCCATAAATTTGAGGTAACATCAGCCTCATCAAACATCAGATTAGATTTTGTTGCATGGCATCTGTTTTGTGAGCGCTCCTGAGGTTTGGTTTTATGGGGAGATCATTTCGGGTCTTACAAGAAGAAGAGAAGTGTCCAGTTTCAAAGCTACATGAAAATATATCTTGTATTTGCATGGAAGAGTAGAAGTGGAAGAGAAACTAGATGTTCTGATGAAAAACAATGAAGAATGAGTTAATAATTAATATCAGATTCATGTCTCTCTTAAATGTGTTATGGCCTCTTCTTCGGCTCTCCTTAAAAGGTTTTTTTCCAGTGTGATTTTTTTCTGCTGCTTTTCAGTTCATCATCTGTAGTAAAAGACTTCCTCTGCACTTAAACACACACCGCCGTATCTTTTCTGCTGTAATATTAAGAATGAATCTTCTCCTTTGTGTGAATCGTCAGGTGATCACAGTTAAATGTTCTTTCTTCAGAATGAGTTCAGATGTGATTTCAGAGCGAAATCCTGAGCCGCTTCTTCCCAGTGTGAACTCTCATGTGAATCTTCAGCCTTCGTTTACATCTCAATCTGTTTTTACACTGAGGGAAAGTGACAGATTTTTTGGCTCCTGTTTGTTTTATCTTTCTTGTTCACGTCCACCAGGTCTGAAAGTAACATTAAATCAAGTGAGATTTCAAATGAGAGACAAACGTTAAATGAAAAGTGATGAAAACCCTAACGTTTAAAATCCATGGATCACCATTCTATTTGGTGTTGTTAAAGACTTGATACAAAAAGTAAGTGCTATAAAATATCATTTTTAATAGTTACTTGTTTATATAGATTACACTACAATACACATTGATGAAAACAACTGTTTTGCATAATGTGTGATATTTGCAGGGTTTAGCATGTATTTCCACGGCTTTGACCAGCAGATGTCTCTAGCATGCCTTCATGTCTGCACTGTGCATGCACAGATTAAGTCGTTGTTACAAGAACGTTTCTCATTATTACGAGACATTATTTCATTATTATGAGAAAGTATCTCATTATTACAAGAAAGTATTATTATTGCAAGTATCTCATTATTACAAAAAATTATCTAATTATTACTAGCAAGCATCTCATTAAGAGTCAATATTACGAGAAAGTATCTCATTATTATGAGACAGTTTCTCATTACTGAGATGTCAAGTTATTAATATCCTAACTTACACAGCAGAGAATTTGTTGCTCAGCACATAAAGATGAAGTACTTACCGTGATCTCAGACTGCGCTGATCTGGTTTCTCCACTGCATGGATCCTCATGTGTATCTTCAGGTGACTTTTAAACGCGAAACTCTTCCCGCACTGATCACATGTGTGCAGCTTCTCTCTGCTGTGGATCCTCTCATGCGTTCTCAGATTTGCTGACTGATTGAATCTCTTGCCACAGTGTGAACACTTGTAGGGTTTCTCTCCAGTGTGAATCCTCTGGTGCAGTTTTAAACAGTTTGCTGAAGTAAAAGTCTTCTTGCACTCAAAGCACATATAAGATTTTTCACCAGTATGTATTTTCTGATGTCCTTTTAAACTTTGCAGCAGTGAAAAACTCTTTCCACATTCAGAACATGAATGCGGCTTCTCCTTCGTATGAACTCTCAGGTGTGTCTTCAGGGCTGATGCCACAATAAATGTTTTGCCGCATTGATCACATGCGTACGGCTTCTCTCCGGTGTGGATCCTCATGTGAACAGTAAGATCATAGTTGTGTGGGAATCTCTTTTCACACTGATCACACATGAATGATTTCTCTCCGGTGTGGATTTTCATGTGTTCTTTAAGGTGTGTTGATTGTGTGAAACTCTTCCCGCACTGATCACATACGTGCGGCTTCTCTCCCGTGTGGATCCTCATGTGCCCCGTAAGATGTGGTTTCTGTGTGAAGCTCTTCCCGCACTGATCGCATGTGAACGGCTTCTCTCCGGTGTGAACTCTCATGTGAAGATCAAGATTTAGTTTGCTTGAGAAGCTCTTTTCACACTGATCACACATGAATGGTTTCTCTCCGGTGTGGATCCTCATGTGAATCTTAAGGTACGCTGAATCTGTGAAACTCTTCCCACATTGATCACATGCATAAGGCTTCTCTCCAGTGTGGATCCTCATGTGTTTTTTAAGGTCTATTTTTTCTTTAAAGCTGTTCCCACACTGATCACACGTGAACGGCTTCTCTCCGGTGTGGACCTTCATGTGTCTTTTATGTTTTGAAGAGTCCATGAAACTCTTCCCACACTGATCGCACATGAACGGCTTCACTCCAGTATGAGCTCTCATGTGATGATCAAGATTGTGTTTGCATGAAAATGTCTTTTCACACCGATCACACATGAACGGCTTCTCTCCGGTGTGGATCCTCATGTGACTCTTAAGGTGTGATGAATTCGTGAAACTCTTCCCACATTTATCGCATGGGTATGGTTTCTCTCCAGTGTGGATCCTCATGTGCTGCCTAAGATGTATTTTTTGTGTGAAACTCTTCCCGCAATTTTCGCAGGTGAATGGCTTCTCTCCAGTGTGGATTCTCATGTGAATCTCAAGACTTGTTTCGCGTGAGAATCTCTTCCTGCACTGATCACATGCATACGGCTTCTCTCCAGTGTGGATTCTCATGTGGTTTTTAAGTTGTACTTTTTCTGTGAAACACTTCCCACACTGATCACATGTGTGCAGCTTCTCTCCGGTGTGAATTCTCATGTGTTGTTTAAGGTTTGCTGATTGTGTGAAACTCTTCCCGCACTGATCACACGTGAACGGTTTCTCTCCAGTGTGAACTCTTATGTGAAGCTCAAGATTATATTTCCTTGAGAAACTCTTTTCACACTGAGTGCAGGTGAAAGATTTCTTGGCTCTTTTCTTTAAATCTTTCTGTTTGGTTTGAGAGCAACTCAA